GCAGAGGGTGCGGAGGTGCAGTGTCTTTTCTAAATTCAGTAGAGCAACCCCAGGGAAGGAGCCCTGTGGACCAGCATGCCCAGAGCCAGGAGAGGTAGGAAAGCGGGGAGCGGGGGGTGTCACTTCTCTCCTGAGGTTGCTGGATTAATGGGTTAATGGCTTTGAAGCCCTTTTGCTGCGAGAGAGTAATGCAAAAACAGCCCCTACGTACTACCTTACAGAAACCAACTCATTTCTGGTGCATTTGCATGTGGTCTACACAGCAGTGACACTAGCAAACATGCTCATGCTGCTTTTTGCACCAGCCATGGGTTGGGTGGAGAGGTTGTCCTCAGCATCTCTCCCACACTGTGTGCCTCAGCCTGGCGGTTTCGCTGTCTTTTTAAGGCACAGAGGAGCAGCAAGGTGGTGATAGATACAGCTGAGGGTGAGCACGGGTGGGTGATGGGGACAGCTGGCAGACCGTGCCCTCCTGAGCTGTTGACCGGCTGGGATTGCCCCCCCGCTTGCGGCTCTCCACCGTTCACGAGCCCAGCAGCACACTGGTGGTGCTGGAGTGGGGGCACTCGGAGCCCCCCATCGGGGTGCAGATCGTCGACTACCTCCTCCGTCAAGAGAAAGTCACCGACAGAATGGACCACTCCAAGGTGGAGACAGGTGAGCGAGGACTCCACTGGTTGTCTCTGGGGAGGATGGGATGGAGATGTTGGAGGAGAGCCTCTGCCTCCCTCTTTGCAAGGGGATGCTGCAACATATCCAGTATCCTGTGGAAGAGAAAGCAGCCCCTCTCCTGCCCACCATGCTGCAGAAGTGGCACCTCCATGCCATGGTGATAAACCTTGCTGGAAAAGCAAGATCCATCTCTGCACCAACCTCATGCATGAGCCTTGGTCCCCCTCGGTACCAGGCAGCGTGGTAGCGGGCACAGACCTCAGCGGCTCTCCGCAGCCCCAGGGACACCTGTGTCGTCACCCGCGGCGCGTCCTCCCCTCTCTCCCTAGAGACAGTGCTGAGCTTCGTGGACGACATCATCTCCGGCGCCAAGTCACCCTGCGCCATGCCGGCCCAAGTGCCCGACAGGCTCTCCTCCACCATCTCCCTCATCGTTCGCTGCCTGGAGCCCGACACCACCTACATGTGAGTCGCCTCCCCTGTGCCATGCCCATGGCAGCGCCGTCGCCCTGACCATGGTGCTCCTGCCTGATGCTGCCTGTGTTTGCATGAGGTCTTGGGAGTCCAGAGCTTCACCTTTTTCCTTCTTGGCCAGGTTCACGCTCTGGGGAGTCGATAACACAGGAAGACGCTCCAGGTCCAGTGATGTGACGGTCAAGACCCCCTGCCCTGTGGTAGACGATGTGAAAGCTCAAGGTGAGATGGAGGGAGCTGCTGGACTGTGATGCTTGGGACCAGAAACAGGGAATTCCCTCTTCCAACATGTCCCCACACGTCTTGTGTCCTGGCTGTAACATCTCCTTCACCCATGGTGGCCCAGGGGCTGCCACGTGGTGTTGAGGGTTGCTGTGGAAGGCGGCAGGAGGCACACATTCTCTCTGCAAATAAACGCAGAGGCACTCTGTGCTGGTGGAGGGGTGGGAGGATGGGTGGAGGGGCAGGCATTCAGGACATACCGAAATAGCCAAGATGACCTGCCTGTCCTGCCCAGGAAGCAACTAGTAGTGTAGGTGGTGGCTGTGCTGAAGAAACCCCAGTTGTGTGCATTCTCATAAATAAATGGTATTTCATTAACTGTACCTGATGACACCACCTGTTTCTTTTCCTAATTGGACCAAACTACGGGAACCTAACCTGGACTGCGTCCGGGGAATGCCATCTGCTCTGTTGCTCCTCCATTGGGACCTTGTCTTGATATGACATAAATCGTAACTCCGGGGATAAGTCTTGGCTCTGGTCTTGGTTTCCCTAGAGCTGAGCTTTAGCCTGGTGGGCTTTGTTCATGCCTTTCCTGGTACCCCACTGAATATCCCCTGTCCTTCTGCCCAGAAATAGCAGACAAGATCTACAATCTCTTCAACGGCTACACCAGCGGCAAGGAGCAGCAAACAGCCTACAACACTCTGCTGGACCTGGGTTCCCCAAGCCTGCACCGAGTCCTTTACCACTACAATCAGCACTACGAGAGCTTTGGGGAGTTCACCTGGCGCTGTGAAGATGAGCTGGGGCCCAGGTAGGCTCGGGGGCTGGGTTGGCTAGGCAGGCAGGCCTGCCCACCAACAGGCTTATCCCTTGTAGATGTTGGTCACCAGGAAGGTGGATCTCTGGTAAATCTCATGAATTTGTTTGATGATAGAGCTTAGAGTCTCACAGTGGGGTTCCTGTTTTGCTGGCTGCTGTGCATATGTTTGGGGTGCAGCCATCTCCCTTGAAGGACCATAAATATAGGAGAAGGTGGAAGCCAGTATACCATTGTCAACCCATCATCTTTGTCCATCCCACCAGCCCTATACTGTCTCTGGAGTTTTGCCCAGTCCGTTCATGCTATGCGGGGTGGGAAGAAGATGGGATTCTCTTTTTCCCTCAGTAGCTGCTACCACAGGCAAAAAGATAGAAGGTCTTGGAAAAATAATGCACCTTTGAGGAATGGAGGTTGTTGCGGGTGAGAAAGTGAGGGAGTGTGGCCGGAGCGTGTTGCTAGAGAAAGGCCCCAGGCATTGACGGAGGGAAGAAGGTGCAAGGAGGTGGTTGTACCTTCAAGCCTGCTGGAGAAGGTGACACAGAAGAACTTGGTTGTGGAAGCTGCTGGATGAAGTGCGTGCAAACACACATACATGTGCTGGGCCATGCCAAGGTCTGACTTGGCTTTCCTCATTTCCTGGGCTTTGGCTTGAGTTGGATGCATCTCTGTGTGTTGAACTCGCTGTCACTTTGTGTTGAACTCGCTGTCACTTGTGGTCCAAAGCAGGCAGTGGATTGACCTTGGGTCTGAATGGCACTTTTGATCCCTGTCTGTGGTCGTGTGGGGTGATCTCAGGGACATGAGTGTTTTTGGTGCCCAGGCAGTGGTGAGCTGCCATGGCAGGTTTTGGAGGAGGTTGCCCTGAGCTCTTCCTGGCTGAAACAGTCCCTTCATGCCTGAGTGAGCACAGTGTCCTCTCCCTGGGCTCCTCCAGGTCACTGCAACCCCTCCAGCTGCCTGGGGATGGGGTGCCTCATGCCCCGGTCTTGCAGAGGCAGCCAGATGTTTCCTTCTCCCCATGTCCTTTGATGTCTGCTTTTGTCTGCGTGGTTTCCCAGTAATGTGGATGTTTCCAGCCAGTTTAGCAAGCTGGGCTGGGAGATTGTGTGGGCTGCAGTGGTGTTTCATAGCATCTGGCCTCCAAAGAACCGGAGCCTTGAGCCCATCCGGAAATCAGGATTACTTCAAATGTACGTCAGCAACAGCTCCTATCTATGAAATGCATGGCCTCCACCTTCTTGGACATCTTCCCCACACCTCCTCTTGCTGGTCTCACCACTAGCTGTCTTCCAGCCCTGCTTCTCCAGGTTATCACTTGTGGATTTCTAGCAGAGGATTGGAGATCCTCCGCGTACCTTCTCTGTCCTCCAAACCTCTGCTAGGCGATCAGAAAGACTCAGCAAAGAGCTGGTGGCTGTCTTGCACTCAGTGTCTCAGGCATGCCTCCTAGTTCAGCTTTGGTGGGAAACTCCTAAGAGATCCTCCACTCCGTTGGGGCAAAGCTGGGGTGTTTCCTCTTTCCTCTTTTCCCATTTATGCTCTAAGAAATGTGAGCTCTTTGGGGCACAGCCTCAAAGCTCAGTAGTGACATCCCAGCGCGTGGAGTCCTGTTAAAGCTGAGGCTCCCACCAGCTCCTCTGCCCAGGGTTGCTTCATTCCCATGACGCCGAGTGGGATCAGCAGGCTTGGACTCATGTCTCACCTTTGTCTCGAGCCCAGCTGCGGTGATGTCGCTCTGTCTCCATTTCCAGATGTGAAATCCAGCCCCGGTTTGCACAGACCATCTAACATCTGTTGTGATGGTTTGCATGAGGAGTACATAAAATTCCTTACGTGACAGACCGGAGTTGTCACACAGCCGCTGCCATCGCCCAGGCTGAGCACTGCTGTCGCTGCTCGCTGCCTCGGTGAGGAGACCAAGGACCGGCCAGAACATGGGGTGGAAGTTGCCTCCTCGAGTCCCATGAGGCAGAGGTGCGTTGGCATGGAGCAGCCAGAAATGCCACCGAATTGCCCAAATGTTACCGTTTGCTGCGTGAATCTACGAGCCAGAGGGTTAATTCCACCCTCTGGAAATGCTGGAGCGCTTAGGATGGGATGACGCAAGTTGCTGATGAAGTGTTTGCAGCTCGCGCTACTTGGAAAGAGACATTTAGGCAGCTGCAGTGGGTTCTGGTGATGACAAATCTTGGAAAGCAGACCTCCTGTTTGATCGTCTGCGAGGGCGAAGCATCCAGACTGGTGGTGACAGGACAAATCACTTGCAGATGACATTATTTAGCCAGCAGACAGAGTGTTTGTTTGACTGTTGCTGATGCTCCTTTGAAGTCCTGGGCGTGGACCCACGCGACTGACTCTACCATGTCCCTCCCTCTCCACGCGGCCATGCCGCCTTCTGGCTCTGCTCGCTTGGGGTGCGCTCGCCTCCCTCCTTGGCGACGCTGGCCGCTGGACCGAAGGAAGCGAGGGTGTGCGCAGATAACTTGTCTGGGGTTACGAAAGCGAGTCGCTCCCTCCCAGTCCAAGAAGGGCTGTAGAGAGCCCTGGACTTTGCCTAAGAAGAAGAAATGGAGGGAAACGCAAGTCCTTTTCTAGCAAGTAATAAGTGAAAGTAGGATTTGAGGCAAAGCCTGGTGAAGTCTGGTGGTGTCTATGGGCTTTGAGCCAAAATCTGTGGGATCGTATTCAACATTCCTGTTAGGGCACCCGTCACGCTGGAGGAAGAGAGGCAGTCGCGGCACCTTGCCTAGGTGTCTAGATGTGGGGACCAAAGTGGGAGGTCGGCTATCTTCTCACGGCTGGAAGACCTGGCCAGCTTGGGTGGCTATCTCCAGAGTCAGCACCATGCTAAGCACCTTCACCTCTCTGCTGTGCTCTGGATGTGAACCCCAGGGCTGCAGGTGTCACGTGGCTGCAGAGCTGGTCAACCTCTTGGTGGCTCCAGCCTGGCCCCTTGGAGCTGCAGCCACCCCCGTAATGGCCCTCTTGAGGGTTTCCTCTCCAGGAAAGCCAAGGTTGGCTCTGGCTGGGCCTGGGGTAAGTTAATTCCTCTCCAAGCAGCTCTCCCATGGTGCGACTGACCTGGAGGAAGGTGTGGAGGGGCTGTGGGTGTTCCTCCATGGTTGGTACATGTACACTTGAGCTGTCAAACCAGCCACAACACAGCCATGTGCTCCACACACAACTCCTGCTTATCCAAGTAAGGGTGTGACAGAGGGTTTTTTTTCCCCTAACGTCACGATTTGTTCTGTGCTGAACAGATGCTGAGTTAAAGCTACCACGGGGATGTATCTTCTCTTCCCTGTCTATACTAACCCACCAACTGACCTTGAAGCTGGCTAGGAAACTTATCCCTGCTCTTGAGACACTTAAACTTCTGTCTGGGTTTCCAGGCACATGTGATACTCACCTTCAAGACACTTCATTACCTCCACATTTGCCAGATTCCCTGGAGATCACCCAAAGTGCTAGACACATTTAAAATGAACATAGTGTGTTGTATCTGAACAAACTGTTTTTCTTGATAAAAGCATTAGAAGCACAATATTAAGAGGAAAAATGTGAAAAGAACACAATTTAGGTCATATTTGGCCAGGATCCTCTGTGCTCTTCCAATATCTCATCCAACATGAGGGCTTGGTAATTTAGCACTTTCTTGCTACCAGAACAAGCCCACACTGAGGCTATGGTGCCCTGGGGGTGCTGCGTGTCTGTCTTCTGCTGAAGATGGATTCCTCCTGGACCTCCTCTCCCTCTGTCACCCTTCTCTCCTGGCTTCCTTGGCTGGGTTGCGGCTCTTTACGAAGCGCAACTGCCATGACTTGCCTTTCCTTGTTTTGCTCTCTGCAGTTGGAAGATGCAAAATGCACATGCAAAGAACTGGGAAGCTCCGCCACATCCCCTGCTCTCTCAGAACTTTTTGGATCAAACCTATGTTGTATGCCTCAGTATATTCTTTCTAGTTTGCACGCTATCCTGTGGGACACGTCTCCTAATTTACAAGTAATGTACCGGGAGTGTCATTCCTTGTACTTATATCTTGTGATATTGCATCTTATGAGGATCATAATTTTTACCTCACCTTCAGCCTTCCATACTGACCCTCACAAGCCAGGCATGATATTTTGAGTGGGGTTTTTTTTCCAAAATCTTCTTCATGCTCAGTGGTGCCCTGGCATGCCGGCTGTGCATTTCTTCTCCATCACGTCCCCCTCAGTCACATGATGGCAAGAGAGCGACGGTCCTGGCATGTCCGCCTTTTCCCTGCCCTTCCTGCCATGTCACTGGAGGTGTCCTACACCAAGCCATGAGCAACCAGCACAGTTCCCAAACGTGCAATACGTGCACTTCGTGGAGAGGACAGACGTGGTGACACTGCCCTGGGCTGGCCACACGTGTCATGCCTGACACCTTTCAGCATTTCTCCCCACTGCCGGCGGTGCTATTGGCTCCCACTTTCCCATCCTCTTATATCTGGGGCCCAGGAGCTGCAGCAGTGATTGGTGATGCCTTTTGAGTCGTTGATGATGTCCATCCCAAGGGGTGTTGGGGGTTTCACAGCTACACCCGTGACTGTCCCCTCGCTAAACCCTCAGCAACCCTGGCCTTGTTGTGGGGACGATACGGAGAAGAAGAAGGGGGGACAGGGCAGGGAAGTGTAAGGTGAGTCCCAAGACCAGGGCAGCAGGTCCAGCACCACCGTGGTGGCATGGGCTTCTCTGATCCGGGTGGGGGCTGTTCTCACGTGCATTTAGGCTTGCAATGCTGCCATGGGGCTGGAGTGTCCCCCCAGCCCCGCCGTCCTTCCTTGTCCTGACAGTGTCGGGGGGCTCCGCTCAGCTGCTCTCCATGCTGCCCGACTCTTGCATTATCTCTTTTCTCCCATGGTGTCCTTAACCGTCTTTGCTTTTCTCTCCTTATATGCTCCTCCTGCCCTTCCTGTCACCCCTCCGTGGTGTCTCCATCATCCCCGCCACCTCCTCGCTGTCCGTCCCCCTCGGCATCTCCCCTTGCCCATCCTCGCTGCAGGAAGGCCGGCCTCATCCTCTCGCAGCTGGGGGACCTCAGCAGCTGGTGCAACGGGCTCCTGCAAGAGCCCAAGATCAGCCTCCAGCGCTCGTCCCTCAAGTACCTCGCCTGCCGCTACAGCGAGATCAAGCCCTATGGGCTCGACTGGTCGGAGCTCAGCCGGGACCTCAAGAAGACGTGCGAGGAGCAGACGCTGAGTGTCCTTTACAATGACTATGGTGACAAGGACTACTGAGGGTTGCAGGCGCCCGCTCTCATGCTGGCCTTCCCACAGGCGTTTGTGAGAGTTTTATACACGGACCCATGGGGGGGGAGGGTGTCACTGATGTTTCTGGAAGCAAAAATTTGGACCGGGGGAGCGAAACCAGCTGCTCTGTGCAGGACTGACTCAGTATTAGTTTCTTCTTCAACTTGGCCAAAAGCCTTTCTAGTTAGAAGTCTTGTGGGACCCAGTTTTCTTGGTTTTGTTTTATTCTTTTTGCCAAGAGGTTCCTCAGCATCGGTAGAGAGGACCGGTTGGGAGCGCACAGCCCTCTCCTCCTGCCCCATCCCTGCCCTGGCTGTGGGGACTGTCCCCAAGGGTGGGGGACACCGGTCACGAGAGGAACATGGTGACACAGCCAGGACCGGAGAGCAGGTGAGGCAGGGCTGGGAGAATGGAGGCAGGGCATGCAGGTCAGGTTGAGATGCTAATGGTTATGGCTGAGCAAAACAGCCACTGGATGGCCAAGAGGGTTGGGATTTTCTTTTTTTTTTTTTGCAATTGTAAAGCATGAGGTCTGGATGAGACCTGGCCGAGCGACGGTGCCATTGCAGGGCAGGGCTGGCGTGGTGTCACCAGCTGGGGCGAGGAGAGAGGGGCATTGGTGAGCCCATCTCCTCAGGTTCTTCTGTCATGGTCAAAGCCCACATCTGCTCCAAGATGCAGAGTCCTCCAGAGCAAAGGCAGCTTGGCCTCAGGGCCAGTGGTCAGCTGGACATCGTGAGCTTTCTTCTTGTGGGACCACATTCCTAGGAAGTCAACTTAAAAATCCCTTCCAGTATTATTTTTTTTTTTTTTACCCACCATAATAAAGACTTTGAAGCAACGTCAAACTACTGCTCAGGAGAGTCCCAGCCAAGAGACCAGCACCCAGACGGCATGGATGAGGCTGCCTTCTGCACCAGCCGCCCTGTAGCTGTGGCGTAGCCCAGGGTCTGCACGGCGAGGGGAGCAGCACCCCGACGCGGCGGTGTAGGGTGGTCCTGGAGGTCCTGGTCCCAGAGAGGGTTCGGTGACACGGCGTGGTGGGCAGGCTTCTGGGGGTGTTGCTTGCCTGTGTTCCCACTCACATGTGCAGCTCTTGCCAGTGACTTTTTTTTAAAACCAGAGAACTGGGGTTGTCCTGGGACACTAGGCTTGGTTCAGAGCAAACTGTTCTCCAAAACCCCGTTACCACTGACGGTGTTGGAGGCAGCACACGGCTTCCTTTTAGCTTCAGCTTCCAGTCTGGTTTGCAGAGGAGGTATCTCTGGACTTGCCAGCTGTGCACCTTTGATCTGGACAAGCCAGGAGCCCTACAGTGGGATTTTTACGATGCCTCTTCAGAGAGAAATTTCCTTTTCATTTTTTCAGTCTTGGCAGGAGCAATCTTCAGCTTGTCTCTTATGATTTTCTGCCTCATTCCTCCTCCTACCTGCCAAGGACACGGCTCGAATATTTGCGTGGTGCTGAGAGGGAGGCGGCTGTGGTCTGCAGCCAGTCGCAGCCGACAGCGCTGCAATACAGTATTTGCTCAACAGCAGTTCAGTATCTTCCTGCAGGACCACACAGTGCTTTGCTCTTCCCTTCTTGCGGGCTCTTCCCTCTCCAGCGGGCAGCTGGCCTGGACCGGGGAGCTGCCGGGAGCAGCCACCACCAGTCAGTATTACCTGGGCGTCCCCGTGTCGTTTCTGTAATGGATGTGTCTGGCAGGGGTCATCGGGCAAACACCTGCTCTTTGCAAGAAGGAAGTTTACTGGATCCTTTTGGCTTTTTCTCACATGTTTCTCCTTATATTTTGATGTGCCTGATGCTGCCTTGGGGCTCAGGGCAAGACCAGCGCTCTCTCCATGCGCAGGTATACGTGGGTAGGTGATCCGTACTGAGCCGTTGCTCCTTTTCCTTTCAGCCACCGGCAGTCTTGGCCAAGACACTTTGGTTTATCCTCTTGCTTCTCCCAGCGGATGCTGAGACAACTTTTAACTTCCAGCCAGGCAGCCATCCAGGGATGGGCAAAGGGCACCTCCGCTCAACGCCTCTGAGGGATGCTTGAACGAAGACTGCTCTGGCCCAGACGCAAGTTGGTTGCTCGCCAAGTAATACCGCTTACGTGGCCTTTATATGGAACGCAGACTGTTTTCCTTTGGGTAGCAGACTCCTCTCTTTTATTCCTTACTAGGTGCAGCAGCACGGACGGGAGCGGTGCAGTCTGCCAACCACTCGCTGCCAGGAAAACCCTGGACACCCCATGCGTTCACACCTGCCTAGGTTACTTTTTCATCCGGCCCCAAGATTTGCGCTGGGGCTCTGCAGATATTTCTGTTCTGCTTCCGCGCTCACATTTCAAAGCACTTGTGTGGTCAACCAAAACCCCACAGCATCATCAGTTGGCTGGGCTGGACTCCGCTCCCTCAGCCCCAGCTTCCCCGGGGGCTGGGAGATGGACCACCCCGGAGGGTGAGGGGAAAGCCACCCGTCCAAGGTCCTTCGGCAGCACCCTTGCACAGTTGGACGGGACTCGGCATCCCCATCCCATGACGGACCGCCCAGTCTGCTGGTGGGGCTGTGCTCCGCTTGGTTGACGGCCGCGGCGTTGCTGCACCCGCTGCGCTGGCGGGGGCCGGTGTGGCACGTCTGCGGGGCCATTTTCACAATGGCCCTGGGCTTTGTGAAGGCTTCCTTCTTGGTTTCCTTGCTCTGGCTTTGCAAGTCAGAATTTTGCCCAAACTTGGATTTTCTTGCCAAAATCCCTCAACTAAGACATGAGCCCATCTCAGACAAATGCCAGCAGCCTGCCATGTGGGGGCCAGACCGGAGGGAGGGGGTTGCACCATGGCTGCAGACTGGCCTTGGTGAGATGTGTCGTATGGGGCCTGCTCACCCAAAACAGACGTGGGCGAGCCCCAAGGTGTGCCCCTCCCTGCAGAGCTGACACCGTCCACGTCTGCCGCGGGGTCCTACTGTTGGGTCTGCACAGTATTTTCTCTCTTGGACTCCTGGTTCTTCCCATGCTGCCAACCACACGAAACCTGGAGAAGACACTGTTTTCCATCCATTTCTGCAATATCCCTCGCCCCCCTGCCCTCTCTTCTTGTTTTATTTCTGAATTAATGAGCAATCATTCACCTGAGATGAACCTCTGGGTCGTTATCTTTTCTTTGCTGCACCCGTACCTCTGTAATAGCATTACTACCTTTTACTTGTCGTGGAGTTATTTAACATATAAAGATGGTTTGGTCCTTTTCTTTACAAAGATGGCTACAATTCATGTTCCTTGATGTTCTATTAAAACTCTAATGTGACGTTTTACTACTGTAGATTGAAAGTAGGGTGCTTTAGGGTGAGATAGCCATGTGGCAAGAAACACAAAACCCTTCTGGATTACTTTAAAAAAAAAAAAAAAGGTTTTAAACAACAGCAACAAAAAAAAAATCATTGTAACACTATGTAAAACTCCAGATGATAATTTAACTGACTATTAAACGGAGCTGTTAGTAATCCGTGGCTCTGGCAAACTGGAGTGTTTGTTTATAGTTTGGTCCAGTTGATGTCATCTTTTGGTAGCGGATGAAACACTCCCAGCCTTTGAACTCAGGTGCGTCTTCACACAAGTTTAGCATTAGCCTGTCTGCCCACTGGGTTAGCCAAGTCCCAAACCACTCAGGACACAGAGCCAGAGCCGTGTCCTGCACCTCACCTCGCCTACCCGCTCTGCTGGGCACAGGGAAGGGTGGATTCCTGCAGGCCCCCTTGGGTTTTGAGGGGGAAGACTGCATTTACACACCCTCCATGAGGGGCTCTCAGTCCTTGCTTTGCAAACCTCCGTAGATGCTGGGAATTTGGGAGCAGAGTCAAAAAAAATCTCCTTTTAGCCTGTCTTTTGAGGGTATAAGGTGGATGGGCTGGTGCTGTCTGGTGGTCAACCACCCCCTGAGAACTTCCTAGTCCATCTGGCAGACTTCTAACAGAGGACTAGCAGCATCAAGAACATCAATGTCCTACAAACGATGCAAAAATCAGTGCCTGAGCAGAGGTGAGAGGCGCAAAGGATGCCTTAAAAGTCACTCCCAGTGCAGTGTTTGGTCTAGTGCTCAGGCCATCAGCACTTGTAGCGGTTGGCCCCTTGGCCAAGCCCAGTGTGTATTGCCATCGCCCTGCCAGATGGGTGGGAGACCTGGGGAGGGCTGGGGATTACTGCGGGCGGGTGGGCAGGCAGGATGCCCGGGAGGACAAAGGAGAGGGGGGATTTAGGGGCTGTAGCGCACGAATCCATAGGAAACCAGACTTCATTATGTCTCATGGAACAACTTGATTTTTACTTTCTTTCTCTTCCCACTGCTAAATTGCAGGAAAATAATCTAAAAATATCCCCGATACTTTCCTTCTGCTATTTTCCATGCAGTTAAGTGCTGTGGCTGCCACCGGCTCATTGCACAATAACCTGTGGCTGTGGAACGAGACGTGAGGAGGAGGAGGAGGAAGAGAAGGAGAAGGAGGAGAGGGGCCGCGTGGCAGCGAGGCGTGCAGTCGCAAGCCTGAGCTGCTGTGTAAGAAGGTCTCGGTGCGGCTGGCTCATCACACCTTCGCCAGAGCAAAATCTCGTTTGGGGTCATCTGGCTTGCAGGCGATGGGGGTTTGGAGAAAGCCACCCCAAAAAGGAAGTGGACTGTAAAGGATGTGCCACCAGCTGACACAAAATGGCAGCTTTTTAGGAAGGGTTTGGTAATGTGTGTGCATGTTGGAAGGGTTACTGTTGACCAGCGGTCCCTGTTCATCCTCAGAAAGCAGGTCCCAGCAGGGATTTCTGCATTTCAGCCCATGCATGAACAACATGGCACCGCTGGGGCCCTCAAAGAAGGCACCGAGTCCTGGTGGCTGCCGCATTTCTTAATGACTGACTGCATGGTCTCCTCCATCGTAACGGCTGACAAAGCTTTTCAGATCCAGTTTGTGTTGCTGAAAGAGCCACCACCCTGCTCAACCCCATGTCCCCCTCGCCTTGGGGACACGGGGGTTGGTGTCTCTTGCCTTGAGGCTGGGTGTTTGGCAGAAAGGAGGGGATGGGATGGGATGGGAAAACAGCAGCTCGTCACTTGGCTGCTGCCGTAGACAGCTGCCCTTTTTGATTGAAATTCAAG